TCTGTCTGTCTGTCTGTCTGTCTGTCTGTCTGTCTCTCTGTCTGTCTGTCTGTCTGTCCGTATCTGTCTGTGTCTGTCTGTCTGTCTATCTGTCTGTCTGTCTATCTGTCTGCCTGTCTCTCTGTCTCTCTGTCTCTCTCTCTCTCTCTGTCTCTCTTTGTCTCTCTGTCTCTATCTGTCTGTCTCTGTCTGTCTGTCTCTCTGTCTCTGTCTGTCTCTGTCTGTCTCTATCTGTCTCTGTCTGTCCCTTGAGCATTCTTCAGGGCAGGCCTTCTCCAGCACGCTCCCCCAGCATCCGGCTGGGGTCGGCGGATTATGTCCTTCAGCTTGAAGATGGTATGTTCCGTTGGCTTTGAACTAGGCATGTTGCCAGAGAACCCTTTGAGCAAACAAGGCAGCTGGCCAAACACAGGCAGTCACCAGATTGCATAGATCAACCCGAAGGTGGGGCAAAGGAAAGACGCAAGGGTTTGCACAGGTCAGCGGTGGCACCTCCACGTTGCAATGCCTCTGCCTGGCCTCATTCATTCACATCGTAAATTGCTGTAACTGATGGGGGGCAGTATGGCTGAGGATAAGACGTTGAATCGAGGCCCTTCTGCTTATCCATTAGCCATCATGACCTTTAGGAGTTCGGATGTTTTGGATGGTAAATATACTAAGGAATCAACAATTTTGTGAAATTGAGTTCCAGGCAGATAGCAGCCAGCATCTTGGGATGATGGGGCACTCTTTTTAGAGCACGAAATAGCCATGGAACAGCAGCCGGGACCATAGAATCATGAAAAATATCATTAAGATCCTGTATAAGCACAGATTATGGTAAATCCACGACGTTGTTCTGAATCAAGGTTAAACCTCGACCTGGAAGTCCTGGGTACGGCATATATTTATATATATATATAGATAGATATATGCACCTATCTATACACATGAACGCACACACACACACACACGCACATAATATGCACACACACAGACACACGCACATAACACACAAAATTATAGATTAATATTACATATGGTTTGCATCACACAAATATACACATAATTGCATACATGCTCTCGTGGAGATATATAATTATATCTAATATATTAAAGCATTGTATGTATATACCTACATAATAGATACAGCATGCAGAGCAGAGGGGGGCTGCCTCTTTCAAGAAGGTGTTCCATGGTGTTCCTGGCGGCTTCCCAGGGCTTTCATGTTTTCCATCAACCTATCTGATCTATGTTTATTTCTTCCACGATTTTTGAGGTTGGATATTGGTCACATATGGGTCCTATGTGGGTCATATACTGATCATCTATTTGCGTCTCTAACCATGCTCCTCCCGTGGCTCATCCAGGTGCAAATTTCTGTTTCAAGGCTGGCAGTTTCCATGTTCCGAAAGGTATGTTACAAGAAGAGTTCTGACTGTTTGCTACAGATCTTATGTAGCCTGGCAGAAACAGCGAATCAAAGTAAATCAATGCAATTGATACCTGACAGCACAAAAGGGGGCAGCAAACGTTCCTGGAATGGCTCAGCAAGCGAGATCAAGGAATCAAGGAACATCATAGACTGAACACCGCAGCTGCAGTTGTATTCTTTGGCACCAGTCCTCACTCTCTGTGTGGGAGGGGTTTGTGTGCCTGAGGCGAGGTTAGCTTGGTCTCACTTCACCGCAACTGAGTTCAAATGATCGAATTTTCCCAAATAAGCATGTAACATGTAAACATGTATTAATCTTCCACCCTGTCTTGAAAGCAGCTAAGAAAGCGGGTCCGCGCTGTGTAGGCAGTGCATGTCGTGTAGGCTGTGTAGGCTGTGTAGGCTGTGTAGGCTGTGTAGGCTGTGTAGGCTGTGTAGGCTGTGGATGCTTTTTGATGAATTGGTTTCATCTGATTTTCATGATGCAATGTGCTGAAGCATACGAGAACCATGTGCCCTCACCCGGAGCCGGAGGTGCTGGGCAGACACATGTCGCAGCCTTGACGTTCGTATTCGGTCAGAGATTTGTTTTGCAGCCGGGTGAGACTTGGTGAGACTTCTCCGCTGCATTTTTATTTTTCATTTCTTTTCGTACTTCGCGTTGTGTTGGCAGTTGTTGCGGTTGTCATGGTTGCTATCGGCATTTTTGTGGCACTTGCCAGACCGGAGCCTAGGCTGGCTTAAGAATCTTAAGAGGAAAAACTAAACGCGGCGGCTGTTATGAACCCCACAGCCCTACAGACTGTGAACGCATAACCTCCACATACATTTGTAGATTGCTACAAAAGAGGACCTCCTCGCATGACATCGCTTTGCATGTCACATATCATCACATCACACCAACATGAAGGCCAGAACTGGAGATTTTGATAGATTTTGTCCACAGACTGGACCCCTTTCAGCTTCATCGTAGTGAAGTGGCCATGGAAGTGGCTTGTCATGTCGTGCCTGAGCCTTGTGGCATTGACGCTGCCATGGCTGCTGCTTCCCAGTGCCCGGCAAGGCCTAGTAGATACTTGCGGCAAATGCAGACACGGTAGAGAAAGTTGCCATGTAATGGGTACAGTAGTCTCCTTCGATCTCATATGTTCTTTGAGATGCTTGAAAGGAAGCATACCTCAGACTCAACAGATTTCATGGCTTCAGTCGGTGCTTTTATTACACAATTGTTTATTGACTTTATTCCCTTGACGGGTTCCCTACACTGCCCTTCCGGCTCGCCCCCAAGAGACAAAGAGCCGCCAAGGATATGACGCGTATGGTCGAATTCGAAATGGAAGGGCCTCTGTGCAGCTAGGATTCAGAATTGCGTTGGAATTGCGTTGCAATTGAAAGATGCTGCAGGGCACTCGAAGAGACTTGAGGTCATTGAAAGCATCATATGAATTTCATAAGCTTCCAAGTCCCAATAGCATCAACAATCACCAACTTTCATGTCCCTGGAGCTACGTGACATAATTACGTACGCAGGTAGCCACAAATACGCACATGCAATTTTGAATCCGTACTGGTACAATGTGCGCGCGCACACACACACACGCACGCACGCAAAGGCATGCTTTGGTCTCCATCAATGGCCTTTCCAGCCAAAAGCTTGAAAAGAACTTGGTGGAGCCTTCCATAGATTCAATGTTGTGACATGGGTTGGACACGTGCAAAACTCGAAATCATAACAGAACAGAAAACGCTCATGTTATAACATGTTATAACACCAAAAGACTAGAAAGAACCAAAGGGCGACAAGGCGGAGAAAGACAGAACAAGGCATGCAAGCCCAAATAACGAGAACAAAGGACTGCAGCACAACCATGCACAACCCAAAGAAACTCAAGATAAGCAACCAAAAGAAAAAGGCAAGGACACCCACTTGCCAAACAGGTAATCAGCAGCAAGCAAAACGTTCGCTGCTGCTCAAGCATGGATGAAACACTTCCCAAGTTCTTCCGATTTCACTGTTGCAGAGCCGTAGCCTGAATATATGATGATAGCTTGCAATCACTTTTTGGCAGTTGCTTGCAGTACCTTCAGCGTGGAGTGCATCCCATATCAAACTACAGGAAGCAGTATCGATCAAGAGGTCCCGGATGCAAAGGTAGATTTCATGAACAAGCGATCACCATAGGGTCATGGAGATTCCGTGCTTTGTGTCACTGTTTGATCTCTGCTCACTCAGACCTTCCGACCCAGTTTAATCCTTGTTTGCGATTCTCAACATGTTAGGTGACCCAAACCAGCTCAAGGAGATCGACTGTGAAACTTGGCAAATTGTTACGCTGATTTACATTCTTTGCGTATTCTGTTTGCATTCTCATTTTTCTGGAGTTTAAGCCACATCCTTGCCTTTGTCGACAGCAAGGAAAACACCGTCTGGCAGCAACTGCTAGCGCTGATTTGCAAGCATTGCTCTGACCGCACTTGTGTGAGCAATTCGGAGTTGGCAGACGTGTCGCCCTGGGACTGAGACAGATTGGCAAAGATTGTGCAAATTGATATGCTGTGATGCTGTACTTGAGTCGGTATTTGAGTCTTTGTGTTAGTGCTGTGACGCTAAATTTGGGTCGTCCTTCTCGTGCAGCACAATTTTGTCCGAAACAGCCAAGGTGACTCACTGGGTGATGCAGCTGTACACCTCGATGCTAGATCAGGATAGCTCACAGATTGCTCACAGTGTGTTACCTTCCGAAGAATTGCAAACTGTCCAGCTGTCCTCCTGCTTACGGAGATGCGTGGCACTACTGGCACCACGAAAAACTGGCTGTCTTCCAAGTGAACATAGCATGACGTAGCGACAATGTGTGGCAATATGTGACGACATGTGGAAATAGAGTTGAAGAGTTGCAGGAGCAAGACCTGGAGACCTTTGGCTGCAAACATGGCCTGGTGGCAGCACTTGTCTTCCAATCAGAGCACGTGGCTTTGGACTTTCGACGCCCAAGCACGGAAGTGGAGGTGCAGAAGCCTTTAAGAACTACGTATACTCCTCATAATCCATCTTTGTGCATGTCTGATTGAAAGCCGTGTGAATCAAAGCAAGCGCCTAATTGAAGTTGAAACATATGCCTAATTTTTCCATGTCTTTCTTTGTCCTTCTTAAGACAGGTAGAGACTAGCGCTTTGAATTACTGAATCGTTCCCCAAGGTGCTTACTCCTCCCGCCATAGTGAACTTCGACTTGTCTGTGCAAGAGGTGGAGGAACCAGCTGTCGTGGACGCCTGACTGAACGCCTGATCAGAGCCTGGAGAATCTGGAGAATCGGAAAAAAGCAGCTCATAGAAACATAATGAATCATAATGAAATTAATGGAAATTAATGAATCATAGAAACTCACTGCAACAGGACTGCAGGGAAACTCAACTGGGCTGGAAACGCTTGTCTTGTTTGCGTCCGCAGCGCCCGAGGAAAGAAGATTGAAATCTGCAGGGGTGCCACTTGCACTGGTCAACTACTCGCATCTACAAATGCGAGATTCTCATGGCTTTCCCGTTCCTTGATAACCTTAAGAAATTGAAGGAAAGTTGCATTCTTGCGATGTCTTGCGATGCTGGGCATGTGCTTGGGTATGCGTGCTGTCGAGGTTACCCTTCAGACTGACGACGCTGGTGCCCAGACCTTGGAGTCTCCCAATCCGTCGATCGCTGATGGCGGCTTTCCGCTGCAAGTCCGTCCTTCGCCAGCCTTTTGTGATGATTGTGATTCCCTTGAAGCCTCGGCAGTCTTTTGCTCAGGGAATCACAAAGCGATATGTCCACGGTTGCATCTTGAAGCTAAGCAGCTGAGGCTACAAAGTACCAGAGTGCCAACGAGAGTTTTTCACTCTGAAACGATTCCTAGCTGTATCTCACCCTACGCCCGAAGGCCAGGCTTCGAGCATGATCAGTCATGGTGGCTTCTCTAGTTCGTTTTAAGATTTTTTTAAGTGAGCATGGATCGTGATGATCCTGGAGCAGTTTCAACTGTTTTGAGCGATTCCGGGGAACGATGGAACACGTTCCCAAAGCGTCAGACAATAAGCTTGAGAGGCTATGAGAATCATGTGTCCACACTCTTCATGGGCATCCCTGTCATGAGCTTGGCGCCGTTTCCTTTCCACACTGCGACTCGGCTGGATTGACATTGAGGAGTTTTGTATATTCCTGCATCATCCTGCATCATATTGTATTGTCTTCAAAGGTTTTCACACATGTGTTGATGTATTGAGGCAAGGATGCTGTTTGTCCCTGTTTCGCAAACTAGCTCTTTTCATCCAGTACCGTGTGGCCCCTCCTTTACATACTGTGTTTTGCAAGCGGATGATAGCAAATCCCCATCACTTTATTCTCAGCTTCATTCCTTCTCGGAACGATGCAGGCAAAACTTCGAGCATTGAGGCAGATCAACCAGGCGCCATGGCGGAAACAGGGACTTGAGAAGAGAGATGCCCCTCGGACATCATCGAACACCCCATGTGGCTTGGAACTCTGGTGTGTAAAGTAGCAGGTCTCGGACTTTGCCGGCGATTGCTGACTAAT